CGTAGAGAGCGTTGCAGTAGTCTAAACGGGATGTAACCAGAGCGTGGACTACCGTGGCCAAGTCAGACTTGTGGGTAAACAGTATTTTTTGCTGTTTCTTTGTCACTGTTGATGTGGAGAGTGTCTGGTTTACCTAGTCTGGAACAGGCAACATATCATTGTCTTTCTTTAGGGGTCCCTTTCAAATCTATATCTCTCTCTGTGTGAATCATATCTATGTATTTGTTATCTATGGCTGGATGGATCTTTGTCGGGAGGGTTTTAATTACGTTTTCTTGCTCTGGTGAAGGGAGTTGGATTGGATGGCCTTCATAGAATCATAGAACCATAGAATCAAAGAGTTGGAAGAGACCTCATGGGCCATCCAGTCCAACCCCATTCTGCCAAGAAGCAGGAATATTGCATTCAAATCACCCCTGACAGATAGCCATCCAGCCTCTGCTTAAAAGCTTCCAAAGAGGAGCCTCCACCACACTCTGGGGCAGAGAGTTCCACTGCTGAACGGCTCTCACAGTCAGGAAGTTCTTCCTAATGTTCAGATGGAATCTCCTCTCTTGTAGTTTGAAGCCATTGTTCCGTGTCCTAGTCTCCAAGAAGCAGAAAACAAGCTTGCTCCCTCCTCCCTGTGGCTTCCTCTCACATATTTATACATGGCTATCATATCTCCTCTCAGCCTTCTCTTCTTCAGGCTAAACATGCCCAGCTCCCCAAGCCGCTCCTCATAGGGCTTGTTCTCCAGACCCTTGATCATTTTAGTCGCCCTCCTCTGGACACATTCCAGCTTGTCAATATCTCTCTTGAATTGTGGTGCCCAGAATTAGACACAATAAGTATTTTCTGTTGGACATGGAGGTTCTGTGTGGGAAGTTTGCTCCGATTCTGTTGTTCGTGGGGATCAGAATGCTCTTTGATTGTAGGTGAATGTATAAATATGTGAGAGGAAGCCACAAGGAGGAGGGAGCAAGCTTGTTTTCTGCTTCCTTGGAGACTAGGATGCGGAACAATGGTTTCAAACTACAAGAGAGGTGATTCCATCTGAACACGAGGAAGAACTTCCTGACTGTGAGAGCCGTTCAGCAGTGGAACTCTCTGCCCCGGAGTGTGGTGGAGGCTCCTTCTTTGGAAGCTTTTAAACAGAGGCTGGATGGCCATCTGTCAGGGGTGATTTGAATGCAATATTCCTGCTTCTTGGCAGAATGGGGTTGGACTGGATGGCCCATGAGGTCTCTTCCAACTCCTTGATTCTATGATTCTATGAACTGTGAATCCCAGTGACTACAACTCCCAAATGTCAAGGTCTATTTCCCCCAAACTCCACCTGTGTTCATATTTGGGCGTATTGAGTGCTTGTGCCAAGTTTGGTACAGATCCATCACTGAGTCCACAGTGCTCTCTGGGTGTAGGTGAACTACAACTCCCAAACTCAAGGTCAATGCCCACCAAACTCTTCCAGTATTTTATGTTGCTCCTGGGAGTTCGGTGTGCCAAGTTTGCTTCAATTCCATCGTTGGTGGAGTTCAGAATGCTCTTTGATTGTAGGTGAACTATAAATCCCAGCAACTACAACTCCCAAATGACAAAATCATAATTTTTTGAGTGATGGTCACTCCTTGTGTTGTGAGATGTTTTGTTGCCAGATTTGGTGTGATTTCATTCATTGGTTCTTTTGTTTTTAAGGTACTCATTATGCACAGAGCATTTTTATATATATAGATTGTATTCTGAACTAATAATGTTGTCACTATCGCCTGACCAATGGACTTGCTATATTAGTAATGGGTTGAGTTATTTTGATCCTACACTCGCCACAGAATAAAACTCCTTGCAGAGTGCACTGCTCAACAAAGAATAGTTGTGAGTATTATATTATCTTTGTTTCACAGATTGTATATTTCTCTATGTATGGTTTATAATTCTTGTTACAATGTACCTTTAGCCACTATCTATGTCCCCTTAGGATCCACCCCACCAGAAGACTGTTGGTGAATTTCTCAACTTAAAAGTTGAGCTTGTTTTTGATAATTTGAGATTGTCTGTATAAATTATTACAAACTTGTTATAACAAATTGTGTTATTCATGATATGTGTTATTTGTAGACCCAACCGCCTGACGAAGTCTCTTGTGAGTCGAAACCGGTAGCAGGTTGGAATCAATTCATGTGATTACTGGAGTCTACTCACATGTCCTCCAGCAAAGGATCACCGCCTTGTTGTGGCGCTGGAGCTTGAGCACCTCAATGATGTCATGAGCGAAACCGTGAAGGGCCACCCAAGACGGGACGGTCGTGGCAGAGAGTTCAGACCAAGCGTGATCCCTGGGGAAGGCAATGGCAAACCACCCCAGTATCCTTGCCAAGAAAACTGAATGGACCAGTACAACCAGAGATATGTCAGTATGCCATTGGAAGATGGGACTCCCAGGTCGGAAGATGGCCAAAATGCTACTGGGGAGGAGCAGAGGATAAGTTCAACTAGCCCCAGATGTGATAGAATAGGAATAGGAATAACAGAATAGGAAGGACAAGAGACTTCTTCCAGAAAATTAGAAACATTGGAGGCAAATTTCAGGCAAAAATTGGTATGATAAGAAACAAAGATGGCA